CTAGGTCTGACGAACACAGCGCTTGCTTTTGGAAATGATCGGACGCAATGGTGGTGCTAGCGTTAACATAGCACCCCCCGAAAATCAAGGGCTATTTTGCAAAATCTATAATGGCGCTAGCTGAACTCAAAGTGGCGCTAGCTGGCGCTAGCTATAGAGATTCTAGCGCAATCTGCCTTTAGTCAAAAATTTGAAATGGTGGTGCTAAGTTAACGGAGCCGAGCGAATATCTCGAAATCGCTTTGTCGGAGGAGAGTACCCATAAACGAGCCCATAAAGGCAAACTGAATTGTCTGGACGAGACATATCTATTGGTGAAGTCTCCCCATTAATCATCTAACAAGCCAGAAAACATGGATAAATATAGCATGCTACTATACCTTATAACGCAATCAAGTACTAAGCTATTTCGGTTTTAAAAATGCGCTTTATCTGCACAAGAGTTGTGCACAATTTATATCTGTTTCGAGATGTAACAGTTATATTTGCATCACAGAAAGTGCAATTTACTGTGAAAGTTGATAGTCTTCGAACGTAAACGTTGATTGAGTGAAAGAACCGCCCACAGCCACAACGCATCATAGTCTCTTTAAAACATCCATGGCTCGTATCATCTTTAACTACTCGATGTCTACTATTTACTATATCTACTCTTTGTCTCTATTAAGAAAAACCATAACGTGTTCTCAACGTTCTACAGTGTGTCCATAGTTCGATGCCCACTATTAGCTTCACAGTTATTAGAACAGATAAAAAGAAGGTTAAATAGGTAAAATTCTCAGCTTATTTCAAATATTTTTGTACTCTTATAGCGGTGAATAGATACGGCGGTGAAATGGTCGCGGCGAATCAATATGGCGGTAAAATGGCCGCGGGGAATTATTTTGCGTTCTTCCTCTTCGATTTTCAGATGTATTTGCTTCGTCTCCATATGTTAGGCAATTTCTTCCAATGTGTCCGAAACCATTACATCTGAAGCACTTCAATTTGTATTTTCACGGGACTTCTCCGTTTTGCGTTTTGCAAAGTTTATCTTAGATTGTTCGTTCGTAGTACTTTTGTTTAATAGTAATTTTTCTTCTTCACATAGTTTCATTTTTTCGGTAGATATATTCTTCAATTGACTCGATTCCCTCCTTTTCAGAGTTAATGAACTCCTTAAGTAACAAAATCAGGTGAAAATGTCATTTTTGCTTTTATTTCCGTAAAAATGAAGCGCATTGTCCTTGTATATTTAACAATAAGCATTTTAAGTTGCAACTAATAGAATAAGGATAGTAGTGTTATATAAGTTTGTTCTGAATTCGTTCCTATATTACGTGTACGGGTCTTTCGCGCTTGAACCAGTCTGCTCATCTCTTACAATCTTACTTGTAGTTAAAGATCGCTTTATTCACGCTTCTTAACAGATTAACGATAAATTGGATCGTTTATTTTTAGAGCATAATCCCTCTTTAGTTGTGTCTGAACGGAACATTTGCCGGTTAACAGACGTAATGTCTTTTAACTTGAAACTTGGTAATTTTGACCAGTATTTTCTTACATGGGGTTTAAAATTGTATTTATGAAATTTGAATCCACAATGTGTTATTAATATTCCCACAAGCTTAACAAATTTTTAGGCAAATCAAACATTGTGTACAATTATAGGGTAGACCCTAAGGGATGGATATTCAGTAGTTTAGACACAATGAGATCAAGCAAGTCGGAACCAAATTTATTTCAATAAAAGCTTTTGAATATAAATTAAAATTACAAAGTTTAAATCAGTTTCCTGTACTTCCGAATTGCTAATGGAAATCATTGCTTTTATTGATTTCGGAAAAAAACTTCGTTAGGTATCCGTAGAGGGTGGAAAATTCGACTTATGTCAAAGAGTGGGACTCTTTTTATATACCTAGTATCTGCGTAATGGTAGGTATATATTTATCTGACGTGAACCTGAACACATTATTTGTAATACATGCAAGTAGTTCTTGTTAAAATTTCTTCACGTACTTTTCTAAGCGGAGTGTTGTAGTATCAAAAGAATATTACCCGGAAAGATTTTCGATATAAGACGAAGCTCAAAATGTTCCGTTTGTGAGGTATTAGGCAGGTACCTTTCAGGTTCCGAAACTGGTGTTACTTCTTTGGTCTTTTACTCAACAATCATAAGACATAAACATAAACTCAACAAGTGTTTGTTAGACAAAAATTAGAATTCGGCAAACTCACTGTAATTTTACTGGAAGTTTTCCACCATAGCAATGTCCTATAGAAGCACAGATCAATAGCTAGTGATCAATTTTAGGTTGTCTTTTCAAAATACACAAAGTAAATCCTCTATATATCTACGGAAATTAAAAGTCACTTCTAGCAGCCCTCTGTGGATATGAGCAGATGCAGAATGTTTCAAGCTACAAGAAACCTATTTACAACTTTGCTCTAAATTAATTCGAGGAGAAATATTTCGATATAAAGAAAATGCATCCCTATGGTGCGTAAACGGTTTCTACACCTTGTATAACACCTAAGACCTCGCTAAAATTCATAGAACGTCGATTTGTCGTAGGTCGATTATGAAAAATGAATATTTCTGAAAGATTGTAGCCTGAATAGCTGGTAGAAGTGAGAAGAATCACGGTGTGGGGACAATTCGCATCCGGGCAATTCGATCCCGGTACAATTTGCTCCCGGAAAATTTGCCTTTGGAAAATTTGCTCCCAGAAAATTCGCGTCTAGAATAATTCGTTCCCGTAGAATTCTTTAACAGAGTGCCATTTTGTTTTTCTAATAATGTTTAAAGATTATTACAAAAAAAAATAAAAAAAATAAAGCATGTTTCATTTGAAAAAATCAACTTTTTAAGGTTTGAACTTATTCAAATTGACCATCACTTTTAAAACACCCTGTAGAAAGGCGGGCAAAATTTTAAATTATTCTCATGTAGCATTAGGTGAGTTGAGTATTGCTGATTTTGGAAGACTTTGAAATTCAAGTCAACGGAGTCATAGACACAAGGCTCACAAGGAAAGCAGTCAAACGTCAAAAATTTTGAAAAATCATGAATAACTTGAAAGCCGTTGATGCTCGGTATGGGGAAATGTGGTATCATACGAAATGAATTTTCATGTAGATTTCGAAAATGCGACAAAAAATTTACAGATTTCGCAATCTATGCAACCATCGGAGACATTGACAATGATAACCGTATAACGCCATTTGTAAAACGCGAATAACCCTTAATCACCCGGGATCACTTGCTCCACTCTCTCGCAAGATTGCTCGTGTCGGTAAGACCGGAAGTGAAACGATCGTGATAATATTTTCTTTTGATAGATCATGGAAAACTATGTTTTTCTATTTCGGTGTCACAATGATGATTTTGTACAACTGTTTTCGGCCGAAAACAGTTGTACAAAGACAGTGATTATAGTCGTTTTTTTTTGGTAACTCATCTCTTAAGTTGGCAGTTACTAGTTAGTACAAGTAGGAACTTCGTTGGGTACTTCCATGTTTGAACTTCAAAATGTCAGTCTTACTACGCTGCCAACCTAAAACTTAACGGCATAAAAAGTGTTCCCAACATAAAACATGTTAGTTCTAATGTTCCCTATAGTTTCTGATAATGATTTTTTTAATTAAATTAAAGCACCGAAATAGAAAAAATAGTATGAAAAACGCGTGTTACAATGCTTTATTGTAATACTCCTATCTTGCGGACACTCGTGGCTACGCTTCGCGTCGCCACTCGTGCCACAAGATAGTCGTATTACAATAGGTCGCATTGTAACACTTGTCTTTCAATATACTATTCTATGCAGATTTAAATTATTAATGAAAGCCTGAATACGTTTAGGTAACGGTTAGCCTACAACAGTCTGCATACAGGGTGTTGAAACGGTTAACGCACCATAGGGATTTCAAGAATTTGGAATTTGCGTAAAAATCGAATTTTTGTTTCAATAATTTCGCGGCACGAGTAATTGTCTTGATACCTCATTTATTTAAATAAATATGTGTGTAAAGCGATGGGGTATACAAGAGGGAATTTTTTTAAAATATTGATTTATGAAAAAAATTTATTCTTCATGATATTTTTTGCTTGCTTTGGAAGTACCAATAACGTTTCGATAATCTAAAATTTATTTATAGAAATCTGGAAAAATAATAAAATGAATTTTTTTATTGAAAGTTGTCATTCTACATTATAATTAAGATACAGTATTTCTATCAAACCACAAACAATCGAAACGTTATTGGTACTTTCAAAGCAAGCAAAACATTATGAAGAATTCATAGATCAATATTTAAAAAAAATTCCCTCTTGTATACCCCATCGCTTTATACACTGCATAATAATTTCGAATAAAGTATTTTTCTATTGGAGTTTACGGAAGAGATCGGAGTGATGCGATAATTTTGCTGAATTTAAAATAAAGCTCTCAAGCGGATCTAAAAAAGTGACAGAGCATGACCTCGATGTGACCATACGGTACGGTTTATACGTGTGCCCTTTCATAGCTCAAGAGAACAGAATCAATATGCAATTGAATTAAGAATGAAGCACTTACAGATAAGAAACGAGTGCACAAGTAGATAAGAGTCGAAACGTCACTGTGTTACCACGATCTCACAGACCCCAAAAGCTGCGTTCCGTCTTACGGAAAGCCGAACACGTGATAAAATTACGGGATTTGAATTGGTTAAGAGAGCACGGTTTTCGCAAAAGTTGCGGCCAAAAAAGGGGGTCGCTTCGAATTTTTAGAACGGCAAGATACATAAGTGAAAATTGGATTTCTAACACGACAATTTTAGATCGCGTAACAATTGCTTTCAATGAAAAGCTTCGAGACCAGTTGGTATAATCGAGGTATACGAAAAGATTCGTCAGCCTGATAGCCGTACGTGATATTGTATTGTGAAAGCTGAAGTTTGTCATCAGGGGATATTGCGTAGTGTTACCATATTAAAATGCGCGAGCGAACAGTTTCGTTTCGCTGCATTATTGGATTATTGTGTTCGCGTTTAAATAAATTTATTACCACGAAAGCGTTGAGGTCCAAGGTACAAAACATTTCGTTGCACCAAATTTTTAGTGGAAAGTTACGTTAAAAAAAGGTTAATTAATCAAAGTTGTGCACCTTATTTGTTTATATGAGGTGCTAATAACTATAAAAATAACACGGTAAACGGTATAAAGGTTAGAAAATTAATTTATCCTATTCACAGACAGATAGGCGAACACCATCGACTCTCCTAATCTGACATCGCTTTGCTCAGCCGCTTAATAAATAATTAACAACCACAAACAAACAATTTAAACGAAAGTAAGTGCAGTAATATGGTAAAAACTGCCGTTAGGGCATCGAAACTCTTGACAACAACGTCCATACCAAGCGATGTTTTCCACTGAAGTTGGAAAATTCGGATACGAGCAACAGTCAACAAAATGTTTTCATCCTTTGCCGCCTAAGATTTGTGTGTTACCGAGTATCCATCAATTTGTTGCGGATACATTTGGCAATATAGTTGATAACATGTATCCGATTGTTGTCTGGTCGGTACTACGTTTAAGAAACCACTGTAAGGAAAACATTTTATGAAAAACTGCGTAATATAAAGGCTTATCCGATTACTATGGAGAATTTGATCGTATTAATTTTTAACTTACTTTAAATAGATTCCCTTTCTACTTTCTTGTGAATTACTCTATATTACCATAATAAATCAAAACCAGAAAAAGCACAAGTAACGATTAATTGTTGCGCTTAATTATCTTGGGTAAAGAGCTAAGGACGTTGTAATTAAAAGTGGTAAATAAATTATTGTGCGTCTACGTTTCATGAAGGTAATATTAATTTTAGAGGAAAAATAAAGATGAGGATAAGCTATAAAAGTAAGGTTCTTATATATTCAAGCTGTTTTGCTAATGTTACATTAACGTAAGATAAAATTAACTATTTGTAATAGCGCAAGTTTGATAAAGAAACACAATTCACCGCCGCGAAAAAGTAAAAGAATACGGCAATCAATTAAGCTAACAAAGATTGTGAGGCACCCCTTGCGCTTGCAGAGAGAAAGTAATGAGGGTATTCCGTGCGTGACGCTATTGACCATCTGCACGCCGGACACGCCTGCATGTCACTCAAGTTCCAGATCATCCTCTCCAGTTTCTCTTGAAGTATCTATATCGTTAAAAGTACGTGCACAATCGATAAGCGAAAGGAAAACAGAACAACTCATAATATTTATATCCCTTTAAGTCATTATTTATTTACCCTCGAGTGGTTGCCGTCAACGAAGAATTCCGCCTCAGTGCGTCCGACGCCGGTGGTGATAGGTGGTGCATTGAACTCATCATAGATTCCTCCTTCGCCTTGACTTTGTTCTTCCAGAATGTCCGATCGACCAGTTTCAGCAAACGCTTTAACCCCTGGCGATGAACGCTGACCGAGCCGGAACAATGTAAACGATCTGTCGTGGCTTCGACCTGAAAAGAAAGCTTTGTGTTTATATCTACTCATTCTAGACGCGGATGGTGGATATCACTAATTACTTCCAGTTACACTATACACATTTGATTTGATCGATGAAATAAAAATTCTCTCAAGTCTTGTACTATTCTTGCATTGGAAAGTTTATTATACACGTATTTCATGTCATATGGATATCTGCCAGAAATCGTTTCTGTGCGTGATATTCATATGAAATATAGTCTTATCGGGTGTACTTAAATATGAATACTACTGAATTTTGATTAGAAATATTTAACAAAAGGCCTGCAGGAGACAAACATGTAGTACCTATTATTAGGTGTGCCATTTCTTGTATTACTCAGAAGTAACGGATATAGATCTGTTTTAAACAAATCTTAGCATGTTCGTGTTAAATGCGGCGAAATAATAGATTTGCTCAATCTTTAGAAAACTGACATTACCAAGCAAACCTCAACGTGGGGAAAGGCGGTGTCACACGATAGATTAAATAGCACACAGGGGAGTCATGCTGAGGGCGACGAAGATGTATTTACGGTCTGCGTTACGCAACAAATGCGCAAGTTGAATGATAATAGAAAAAAAAATCAAAGTCCCTCTTAAATAAATTCGAGCAGTATACGAAATCCCAGTATTTCATTTTATCTCAAACTCGGGAAATGCATTTGCGTGTCAGTGTCTGAGAAGATCAACTTGGGAAATTTCAGACAGTACAAACGCCGAACGTTCCAAAAGTCACATTACAATCGACGTTGTACTTCAAACACAATCCACTTTATTGTAGTTCGATTCGACTTTTAAGAGATTTCTAGGATTAGTTGCCGAGTTAGAAATGTTGAAGCCGTTCCATTTCACCTTTTCAATTTACTTAAAAGAGCAAAAAGAACTCAATGTTAGTGCAGCAGTAGCACGTTTGTATGAAACGGATACCAGGAATATGGAGTAAATGGCGATTGGGCTTTATAAGATTGCACATTGTGAAGAGGCTCAGATCTCTCTGTATTCGTTATCAATGAATTCCCAATATACAATAAATATTCAAACTTAGTAAGTAACCCAAAAATTGTTTATACGAATACATTTTAGCAACTTATTTAATTTGATTAAAAAAGCAAATCAATAAATTGTTCTTACTATAAAAATAAAGACTGTTGTATATTGTAATTGTATACCTATGGCACTGGCTGGCTCAACTAAGTACGTTAATTAGTAGTAATGCAAATCATAAAAAGCATGAAATTCAATTGAAACCTAGAAATGAGTTCATCGCATTTAATTTAAGGGTTCAAACAACCCTAAAATTTCAATGAAATAATGCTGAATCCCAAATAAAACTTTCTGATGTAAAGATCTATAAGTAACCAATTGCATCTGCCGTGAGTAGGGGGGTTTGGGAACTATTTGAGTACATTGTATTGGTATATACCCAAATCGGCCATTCATATAGTTGTATTGACCATTGACTCCTTCGAATTGAACGCTACACAATAAATCTCGAAATGGACGTGAATTTGACCGCCTCTACAATTCCAAAAAATGAATTAACCAATTTTCACTTGATATAATTCTGGATACGAAATAGAAAAATTTATCTTGGGTCGTAATATGGGCTCGATTACTCACTAAACCAACCGTTTACAGATGAAACAATTTAGTCGACGCAAAACAATCAAAATGAAAAAACAGGCACTCCGGGCGAGAATAACACATTCCACGCAACAAGCGATTGATAGAACAATTAATTAAAGAAATCTTAACTATACCTTAAAGTGTCAATAACCAAAAATTTCCGGGCGTAACTACGTATCACAATAAACGACGAATCAACACAAAACATCAGATGATATTGCTTCGACTTCTCTACACGAATTATAGCACTCGAATCTGGACCCAGACGGCACTGATCCTCCATGTAATTACAAGTGTTGACCCTTTGATGGTGGACAAAATTCACTTTCACGAGAATTGGGAAACTTTTTCGTAAACTTCATTCCTTTAATTCGATTTAAAACATTCACGTTTATCATGACGATTTAAATTTCTTAAAACTCGTAGCATTCTTTTGTAACAAGAACTTTACAGAACGTCTTTCTAACTGGCAAGACAAACTGTCTCACAATAATACGCTTAAATCACGGCAAAACTGCACATTAGCAAAACATTAAGCGGTTACGTTTCAGTGTCCACCAAAGAAAACGAGCCACGCTTAACGTTCGTCCCCTAAAACAATTTCCCTTTCTTTTCAACTTCCGCGTCCACTTCCTTAACAGGTTAATGCGTCTTCGAATAAATTAAACACCTGTGTTTTCTTATCGACAAAAAACATCTGGGATAACACGTGCCTATCTTGAAACTAATTACCCTACGCAGCGATAACACTCTTATCGTACCGCAAATATTTCTTAAACAAAATCACGTTGGCTTCAAATTTAAATACTATGATCGAAATTGTCTGAATTATTTATTATTATTATAGCGACCAGCATTTAACGTTAAAGAGAATTGAAATTCACACGTACAGGGTGACCCAACATTACTATAGGTGCTGAAGTCAAACAAAACGTCCACTTGACGTAATTTACACAACAATACCTATCCGTTTTTATAACTGCAACCCTTTGAAGTAAATAATTAAGGAGCTAACGAACTGAGCTCAAAGATATCACCTAAAAATCGAGGAAGCAGTTCACTCTACCTCTGTCTTGTTAAGGATTCTCGTGCTTCGCAGGCTATTTAAGGTGTTTACAATTTGTGAAAAATACGTTAGTACCGTGGTTAGCACGTAAAAGAGCACAATGATGTAGCTGAAATATTATTAATTAATGTAACCAATATAGCCATATGGAGGAATACTGTCGTTTCGCTGCTGCAAATGACACATTTAAATATCGATCATATTAGTTCAAATCGAGGACAACGTTGATATATTGTATCAAAATTTGTGAACGAAGTGATGTTTGATTTTGTTTAAATAATTGATTAATTTGGTTTGGGTAATTGTAAATTTAAATTACGTGTTAAAAACTAGAATTATATAGTTAAGAATTATGTGCATAGTAAGTTTATCTCATGTTTTTTTCCGGTCGTAGATTAAAAGTTTTCTTATCGCATTTAAATTTCAAGGTAAGGACATTTTATCGCCGTATTGAACACAGGTGCCGTTTGATCTTTTGCAGACGCGCCTCGCGATCGTGGACCTACCAGTGTAATTGTTTCTTTCTTGGACTTGAAAGGTATCTACTAACAACAATGGATGAAGCTGTGAATGTGTTTGTAATAGACAATTTAGAGAATGCCGAACGCAATTATCGCCCGAATAGGAACCGTAATCCTTGCAACCCCATAGAAGTCTTAAATGAAGCACAATTTATCAAAATGTATCAGCTACTTCTTTCCATGAGTCTTGCATTTTCTTGCACGTCAAAATCGTAGTTTGTTTCCCTGCTATTATATCGGGGTGGTTTTTAGCAAACTCTACTAGCCACCCTTTTTGGTTTTGCGTGGTATTGCACCCTCGCTTTGGCGTGTCCATCGTGTTTTCAGTATTCATGCTAATCAGTGCCTAAAATATTATTATTCTTTAATTTGAAATGACTGAGCAATATCTTCACCTCACCACCTAAGCTCAAACCCAAACGTCAATGAACGTCAAATAGTCCGTTTTAGTTCTAATCAATCAATAAAGGCGACGTTGTCATATGCACTGTACGTTTCGGTTCCAGGCAGTTACGAACAGTAGTCAAAAATTGCATTTGGAAAACGTATACGTTTTTAAGTCTTCGCATCTAAGCGTATACGAATAGATGCGACTGGTTTCAAAAATCGACCCCCTGGGCAGGTGTTTTGTGGGTGGCTTGACGCTTAGTGACCGCTCATGAAGTCAAAGCGTGAGGAGGCAGACTTTCAAAGCACATCTTTTTCGCCTACTAGTTCTTAAGTTTCCAACTACAGCAAACGATCTATCAGAAGTTCTCAGGACCCCTTTCCTACACCAACAAAAAAGTGGTTTGTATTGTATTCTCCAGAATGAAACAGGTCTAATTCTGGTCATAGCTGACAGCACAATAAGTCAGTAACTACAGTAACGCGTTTTGAGGATACTTTTTGAATAATTAAAATAAAATATAAAAGAAACCGATAAGAAAGCGTAATTAATCCTGTAGTCAAAACTTAAAATCATTAAGGTTAGCCAATCGCATAATTGCGCAAGGTTTACTATACTATGCAAAGAAACCATGTTGTGTTAAAAAACTCGAAATGTTGGTAACGTGAATTGAAGACTCGTTAATGGGTAAAACACAAAACGTTCCCCGTGATCTTCGAGCTATAATTTGAAGTTACAAGAAATATTTAAAGATCTAGAGTAGGTACGTATACTTTATTGAATTGATATAAAATCTTAAAATTACATTCGAAAGGAAGTTTAAACAAACTTACATATGGTGATAACTATAGGTTAAAAATAATATTTATGTTCGCTATAATACTTACAGGAAAAAATTATTGTAATTTATGAAATTGACATTATTAATTGATTATTGTACCAGATGTTCATAATTGAGTCACATTATAATGAAATTTCTGTTAATTTTATTTACGTGGTGGATGGACTCCGCCATCATAAACAAGACTAATGCAATACAGGTTAGACAACTGTAGGAAAACCAAGAAAGCGGGACATTTGAACAACCAGGAAGGGAAAACATGGAGGGCCGGATCAGGTGAAGGAATGTAATGTAATGTTTTCATATATGCTTTAATGAATGACTTATAAACTGGATGCTTCTTAATTATTTAGCTATCCACTCCAGTATCGTTATGCAATTACTCTGAAACCCTGCCTTACTGTCTCCGTATTTTTTACGTTCGCGTGCATTTAATTACTCCAGTAAAAAGAACTCCAATGACACTTTGTATTTAATTGAATATTTTGAACCTAATACTTTCGACTGAAACACTGAAACTCCTCCGGCTACATTTGTGTGAAATAAAGAGGAGTTTGTCTTTTTGTGTTACGTACACAAAGCGCT